GATCTTTCAAACCTTAATGAATTTCCCCTTGGGGATAAATAAAGTATCTATCTATCAACCTATCAACACCTGAAGCAGAATTAGAAAAAGATAAAAACTAATAAATAAGAGAAAGATATAGTAAATAATATAGACAAAGTAATAATACAATTTAAAATGTATAAATAGGCAAGTAATAAAATTACAGGAGGGAAACATTTTATTAAAGACATTGAGATGATGATTGGAAAGAAGAGCTTTTGGTTCTGGTTGTGGTGGAGAACATGTTGTTTTTTCATCTGCCCCTGCATCATTTTGGTGAGTGCAACCTTTGTTCTTTTCCTTTATATTGTACTATAGAAATACCATCTTTAACCTATTTTTGTATTTTACAATAAGCTCTGTGCATTATAACTACTGTTTGCAAGTGTTGCATAAATTAGATGAGATATTTACTTGGGTGTCATGTCAATTAAAGAAATAAGTTGATTTAAGTTTTGTTACATCTGTGAGTTGATAATAAACTGTAATCAGACATGTGGGCAGCAATCCAGGGCCTAATTCCACGCATAGAGTATGTGAACATTAAGTTCAACAAAACCAAAAGCTTGGCTCGTAGCGACAAGATCGGGGCAGTGGAGAGAGCTGCTGCAGCAAACATCTTTGATGCCTGTATGAATATGATTTGAAGGTTATGTCCACAAATAATGTTTTTGTTTAGGTGATCCTGGCCTGGTCTGCTGCATAACCTTTATGCCCCCACCTTATGGATAAAGTCCAGTACCGGGTATGCTTGGCTCTTGGGCTGGTGCATGGTTGCATTCATCCTCCTCTGGATCCCCTAATCGTCGCTCTGATAAGCTGATGGATTTCAGAGGGAAGCGTCTGTTGAAGGTTGTGTTTGTTGTCTTATATGATACAGGAAGTTTTAAAGCAGGCTGAGATTTTCTCTATAAATTTCAGCAGCAAAGTCCTTTTAAGTGTCACCATGTTTATGTCCTAATTGTACGCTATAGTTCTACAGCGTCTGAAGTCATTATGTGTTCTCCCTGGAACAATGGCATCCCCCCCCCCCCCCACCCCCCCTACTGCTGGACGTCATCGAGGATAACGCTACTCAATAGACGAGTATTGTCAAGAAACAATTAAGCAAATGTAAATGCAACTTCAAGTCATGGCATTTCAATTTGAACCACTAATGTATATGATATGTTACATGCAACACCCATTTTACTGTAGTTCAGATAAGGTAGGTACATTAGTTTCCTTTAAACCATCCTCCTTAAAATCCTGTCGTTATCAGGGAATTTAAGTGGCCAGTTACTTTTAACCACTGCTGTGACGGAAGGTTTGTGTTAAGGGATTTTTCTTTCTTAGCTTTTCAGGATAGCTACCTCATTGTTAACATACCTGATGGATAATTTCAGCTTCATGACACCAGATGTCTTTGGCTTGAAGATTGAAATGCTTTAACTCCACCACAGTAGACCTGAATTGTGTTAAATTATTTATCTTTTCAATGTACCTCAACAATGTACCTTCATGTCTTTGATTGTTTGAAGACTGTAAGTTCAAACTGATAGTTTTAAGAAAGTAGTTTGTTCTTAAACTCTTCTGCTGATAATCCAAATGCTGCCTTGTGTGAGCTCATCTTGTTATTCTTTCAAGAGCTCCATCTGGTGGTCATCTAGCACATAAACTATCCAAATCCTAGAGACAACTTCTATTATTTTCAATACAGAAAAAAGAACAGAGTTGAAAAACTTAAATGGGTAAACAAAAACTAATCTTGCATGAATACAATATCATAATTTAGCAGAAGTTCTGCAAAGAATGATTAAAATGACTAAATAAATAAGCAACTGAATTATGTAATTTCACAAACAAATAATTGACTTTGAAACCATTATTGCTGACTTAATCCTTATTGTAACAG